CTCCTAGAACCTCTGCTCCTTCCTTCTCCTTGGTTAAACCTTGGAACCCCAGTCGAAATTCTCACAAACTGCTCTGTTCTCACCAAAACTCCCTCTGTAACTCTCTCTATTTGGCAGACTTTTCCGTGTAAAAGCTACGACAATATGTAACCCTAGGTTTAACATATACTGAGGTATTTATAATTGCAAGATTAAAACCCTAATCCACAGAGCCCTAACTTCGTCGGCCCACAAAGTAACCCAGTTTAGTTACATATCAGATGCTTATGAGACAGCTCCAAAAACTCTAACTAAAACGTATCTAAAACCCCAGTTAATGGGAATTACATAATTACCCTGTTCAAAAATTAAATACTTAATAAATAATTAATTTAATAAAACCCATTAATTAAATCAAATAAGCAAGCAACGAATCACTTAAAACACACAAAATAAATAAAACAATTAATTAAAATAAACAAACAAATAAAGAATTACACCCTTAATTAAAATAAACAAACAATTAAAAAAAATAACATAATGAATTAAAATAAACAAACAATTGGACACATAAGCATATAGATACAAAATCAATTTAAAATGCACAAAAATAAAATTTAAATTCCATTTTTATCCCTTTTGAAATTAGGGGTATTACATATACGTATATACTAAATGCATAAAATCAACTATCATATACAATCAAATTGTGAAAACACATAAGACATGCCCTAGGTCTTCAACTATCATAACATGTTACATATTAGGCCTTGAAAACTAGGGCTGTTCAAAAAATCCGAAAAATCGAAAAAACGAACCAGACCAAATAGAATTAGGCGGTTTGGGCTAGTTGTATAGCGGTTTGGTCCGGTCTTGGACCCAAAATTATGGAACCGTAATTTTTTGGTCCGGCCCTGGTTTAGGGTCCTACTGGACCAGATCAGCCCGGACCGAACCGTTGCTATGTTATAATATATATATGTATATATATATCATACCCTAAACTTAAATCAAGTAAAGTTGTCACGTACCCCCCCTAAAATTTTAAATTCTAAAATTATCTTAACTTTTTCTTTCTTTTGTTTTTTAAATTCTTTAAATTTTTTTTTTAAAAAAGTCAAATTTGCCTTTTAAAATATAACTCAATTTTCTTTTATTTCCTTTAAAATATATCTCAATTTTCTTTCTTTTTTTCTTCTTAAAATTCTTCTTTTTGCGTTTTATATCAATGTTAGTTGAATTTATTATTATTATTATTATTATTTTTTAACTTTGTCCCCTCTGAATTTAAATAAAATAAAAAGGAAATCAACTGAAACCGACAAATCGAACCGAACCAAACTGATTTTTTGTGGTTTGGTTTGGTTTGGTTCCATGGGCATTATGGTTTGATCTGGTTTCAAAAATAGTGAAACCGTTATAAATGGTTTGGTCCCAAAAAACTCCTAATCCGGTCCAAACCGGACCGTGTGCACCCTTATTGAAAACATCAATGATGCAAATAAATCATAATTTCATTAAATGTAAGCTAATAAAATAAAATTTAATAAATTACTCTAGATTGCAAAATATCACCAAATGATATGAATTTAACACATAATAAGTAACATATCATGAAGAACTCAAATATCAAATCAAAAGTCTAATTAAGCCACTAAAACACTTAATTAATTAAAAATATCTAGATTTCAAAAGTCATCCAAAAATTCTAAAAATAATATATGATGAACTACAAGTCATGGGCTCTCCAAATATCATATTATTAATTAAATTTAAGCATCCTTCAATTATGAAATTAAATCATCATTTAATTAAAAGAAAAACTATTTCTAGATCTAAACTTTAAACATGCATATAAGTTATATAAACCTCAAAAACATGTAAAACACTAAGATTATAAACATGAAACACCCCCTACCTCACTTGAGATGAAAATCTTAAATCCCACAAAAATCAAACCCCACAAAATGCGAAGGAACTTCGGGGTTTTGATGGGGACAACAAGGAGAGCAAGAATCCTCAAGTGAGAAGACCCAAATTCAAGCTTGACCACTCAGCCCCAAAATCAAAGTGTTGCAAATCGGAAACCGATCGGATAGAAATGACTGCGTCGTCAAGGAGATTAAAAAAAGTATAAACCGCGAAAATGAAAATCAAAGACGAAATAGATGAAAAGAGGAGAGAGAAGGGGCAACTCTAAGGTTCTTCAATGGAGGCTAGTGGCTGTTATTTTAGGAAATAAAGAGTTAGAGATACTTTCTCTCTTATCCATTAACCCTAAATAGGTCAAAAAGTGTCTCGAACGGTCCGAATGGGCCCTGTCCGGGTCCAAAAAGTGAAATCAGTGAAGACGTGCTCAAATGCTGATGGTCCGTGAACGAAAAAGTTTCAAAATAGAATTCTAAGGTCAACGGAAGAAACAGGGTCAAAAAATGAGTCTCGATCGAAGAGATATGCTCCTGATAAGATTGACGACTAATGGGGTTCGAAAATTCAAAATAAATGAAATAAAAATCCGAAAAATATTCCGGAAGTACCAGAATTTTTAGAAAGCCCAAAATGAGGTGTCATTCAAAAGATACATTTAAAAGAACCTTAGATATAAAATTTCATCAGAAAATAATTACGAAAAACACCCCGAGTAAAGAAAATAATTTTTAAGAATCTTTGCATTTATACCCCTATGGGCAAAAGTAAACATCTAGTATGCTTTTCTACCAAAGCAAAAATGTGAATTGTATAGAAATTAAGTAAAATGAATGCATGTAAGGTTGGAATCAAATCCGAGCACAACCCGATAGGTTACGCAAAATGAAAAGATAGTGAAAAATGACCGAAAAAAAAAAAAAAAAAAACTCGAAAAAAGAAATCAACGAAAAAAATTTATCCGTAAAATTTAAAGGAATGAAAATGATGGGGTCATTACATACATAAATAATTGGAGCGTAGGGCTGCAACTCGGGTGGGTAGCCCCGCACTAAGCTCACCTCAGAAGAATTTGTATGTAAAAAATAAATAGTTAATGCTGCATCCATGACTTGAATCTGAAACTTTAAGCATTAATCCCAAGCACATTACCAACTTAGGTAATACACCCTTGGGACTTAAGTATAATTATAAATATATATAATATTTTCGAGCTCGGGTTGGGTTTTGGGCTTCATCCATATCAACCTAAGCCCAGCCCGAATTAAATTCGGGCTCAAAATATATAGCCCAGGTCTAAATCGAAATTAAAAAAACATTGCCCAAGCTCACAATATTTCGAGTTGGACTCAGGTTATTTTGGGTTGGGCCCGCCCGAATTGCAGCCCTACCAACACCGCCTCATTAAGGATAAGGCTTGACTCTAATATGCTGACCTATCAACTAAAATGTTAAGAACGGTTTAATGGCAAATGCTCTTCCAATTCGTATAAAATATGAATACAACTTAAATAATATTTTTAGTTGTGTCATTATCTAATATTAATTGGATTGTGGAGTTGACGACCAAAACAAACCTAATATTCAAAATTATTTTATAGAAAGTGATTCTTAAATTTAATTCGATGTCTACACTAATTAACCTAAACTTAATTAACATATTGATAAACCAACTTGAACCAAAGAAAAATGATTGAAAGTGGCAAAGGCCCCACCCGAAGTCGAACCCAGGTCGCTGGATTCAAAGTCCAGAGTGCTAACCACACCATGGAACCACTGTGCACAAATCAAAATCTGATCAGTAAAGCTGTTATTTTTATTATAAGTGTTATATACTTTAGGTAATCTAATTCTAAAATAAAGAATTGACATGTTTGATAAGAGATTGTGTTTTTTTTAGGGTAAAAAAAATTAAACTGAGTATAATAAGTTTTATTATAAATAGTAAAAATTTAAAAATAAATTAGTTATTTTAGATATCAATTGAAAAGCTTTATAATTTAGTTTTAATCAATCATAGCTATATATCATAGAACACATGAAATTAATCAGGCTTTATTGGAGTATCACCGTCACCTTACACCTTCATTTATGTTCATCTTCACATTTATATATTACTAGTGGACATTCTGAAATTTCCTTCTGGTGGTCCAATTCAATGTTTGTATTTATTTTCATATGCTACAAAGATCTCAAAAAATGGGCCAGATTTCTGGGATAGCCATATCTCTTTGAGGGGACCATCCGACGGTTCAAAATTTGAGATCACACCACTTGGAATCGTTACTCACTCCTTAAAACCTTAACCATATGGTTCAAAATGATAAAAGAACTCAAGAAACAAGGCCAAGTTTACCCAAAAACAAGAGAATGATCATAATGAATTTAACCCATTTGATCCAACATGAACATACCAAATAGCTCTGACAGAGAAACTCCTTTTTGGAGTAGGACTGATTACGGATAGGATCGGTTCGATTTGGGAATAAAGTTTAATCTAATTTGATCCCCACGGATTGGTGAAATTTGAAACCGAACTGATCTGTGAGAACCTTCAATTTGAACCAAATCGATTCGTGAAATAACGGATTGGATCGGTTCGGTTTTCACGGATTGGGCTTTTTAAACAGCCCAATATGATTACACTTTAAAGCCCATTAAAATTTCAAATTTGTAATTAAAAATCTATAATGACTAATGACTTTGTTGGCCTAGGGTTAACTTAAAGTTTTGAATAATGAATTAAAAAATATATATAGTTATATATATTAATTTATAATTAAGATAACGAATCGAATCGATTTTTCTAGGGCCCAATCCGTTAATCGAATCGCGAAAAGCAAATTTCTATTTTTTTAAACCATCACTGAACCATAAAATCTGAAAATTGAATCAAATCACAAGGCGAATTTGCTCGGACCGGATTGACAAATTATTTGCTTACCCCTAATTTGAAGTAGGGTTGAATGTGCAAGTTTACTAAAGTGGACAAAGTAAACCAATTAAACAATGCAAATGATAAAGAATAAAAATAAAAAAATTAAATATATATAAAAGAAATCAAAGTGACCTATAAAATATCGGAGTATATATTTTTGGTTATAGGTGGTGTAATTAAAGCTTGTTTATTTTTGAAAAGAAATTTTTGCAAGAGGCATAAACACCAATGAAGGATAATATGGTCATTTGAAGCAGCATTTTCCTTCCCGCACTGACCACAAAATAAAGCCAAAAGTACAAGAAACAAAGAAAAATCCTTGTATTTTCCTAAAGAATTATTCTCTTTAATCATTTTCGTTACTTATTCCCCTGCCAGATACAAAGAGACACCAAAACACCGGAATTTAACGCTACATATCAAAGTTGAGTTTTGTTTTTCTTGTTTGACAACTAAGAAAACGAAAGAAACCATTTTCCTTTTTCAATTTATGTCTCTCTCTCTGTGAGTCTTTTTGGTAGACCCATCTAGCTACCAAGCCCTGTCTCATCCTCGAATGGACCAGTGGTGCATTAGCTGGTTTGTTGATGAGTCAGTCCCAATCTCTTTCTCTCTATCTCACTCCTCGTCGTCTGTGTCCAGTAGTAAAGTTAAACCTGATAAAGCTGAAACACACCGTCGTTTCCAAAACCGCCAATCTTTCGACGCTTTGTGTCTCTCTCTAGCATAATTCTTTTTGTGGGTCCACTCGAATTGGTCTTCTCGCTGTCTGAGCTCCAGCTTGAGCACGGCCCGTCAAGCACATTGACCGGTGTGCTCGAGCTCAATGCCATTTCTAACACCGACTCGTACCCATCCCTTGTTATGTATTGCATCACATTGTTGCAGCTAAATAACTTACACTGTAACAAAATTAACAAAAATAAAATTATATATATATATATATATATATATATCGTTCAAATTAGAATAACTAATGTGAGTTACCTTATTAACATATGCACAGTTTGAAATTGCTTGTCTAAAGCTTGGAAATTGTAATGGAAATAGTTCGTGAGAAGCATAGAGAAGTGTCGTTGCTGCAATTATCGACGGTTTGAACTCTAATAGCTTCACATCTGTAATAAAAATAAATAAATAAAGATTTACCCATCTTTCAAGTAATAAATTGCTGTAATTTGTGTATACCATGTTGAGCTTTGAAGATGATTTCAGTGGCTCGAGCTTTGAGAGCTTTCGTGGATGGTGGGTCTATGAATTTGAACAATGAGATAAAGAAATTGATGAAAGAGAGAGGAGTAATAGAGCGCATTCGCCATTTGAGAGCTCCGAGGATTAGAAACTCCATTCTTCGAATTGTTTGCTTATCGAACATGAATCCACCGTCCTCGTGCTGTTCCAGAAGATTTACAAAAGTTCTCTCAGAACATTCCACAAAAATTTCTATATAAGTTGTTGTATTTAGTTGATGTAGATCAGAGAAATGCAGAGTACCTGAACAGCAGAGAATTCTGTTTCTTTCATCTTCAAAGCTAAAGAAACGCAAGAAACTGCAAGAAGCCGCAAGACCCATGACTTCCCTTCCTACAAAATGCAAATTTTATTAGATCTCTCTCTCTATATATATATATGCATATGTATATATAGAGATAGATATAGAGAAGTGTGTACTTACTGGTATGCGTTGGGTGGAAAGGAATCGATCGAGGTAATTAACGGCTAGGTAGGACAGAAAGGGATCAAAGTTGTGAGAGAAGATTGAGATTAGAGAGATGGTTTGGCGGCGAACAGAAATATCGAAATCTGTGGCTTGGAGGCTTCGAGGCATGTGATCGGACTCGGTGTGGAAAAGAGAAGGGAATGAGTCGGAGTAGAGGTCTTGGAATGCGGGTAATGGGTTTTCGAGATCGAACTCCATTGATGGGGTTTGTGAAGGTCACTCAGTGGTAAAGAAGATGACAGAGTACAAGAAACACATTAATGAGAGAGAGAGAGAGGGGGGGAGGGAAAAGAAAAAGGAGAGGAAGTGAGTTTGGTGTCTCTTGTGTAATAAAGCTGTCCGAGACCTCAACTTCACCCTTATAGTCCTCTCTCTCACTCTCTCTCTCTACATCATCTGGTCTTGCTTTCTCTCTCATCGCGAAGGGAAATGGTTAAGTGTGGGATAGTGGTGATGAGATGGGCTTCATATGCGTATGATTGAAGCGTTGAAGTTGCATCATCATAACTAAAAAGGAAAAAAGTCTGATCATTTTCTGCTGCTGTTTTGACTAGTAAAAATGTCTAGCAATTAATTATGGTGAAAAATTAGCAAATTGAACCTTGGGACTATCTGATTCATATCCAATTTACAAATTTCATTCCTTTTCCTATGTGCAATCTAAAATGGTAGCATTAGGATATTAGGCATCCTTAATTCTTTCTATTTTGTTTACTTAAAATGTCATTACTAATAATCAGTTTTGTTTGTGTGGAATGCTGGAGTGGAAAAACTGAAACTATATATATATATATATATATTATGTTACAAAACTGGAATGAGGGAATGCTGTCAAGGTAATTACTTCTCCAGGCAAAAGCTAGGTTATCAACTCCAGAGTTTAAAACTCCCTGAAACAGAATTATTGGTTAGGAGTACTTTTTTTCATGCAAGTTGATTTATTTTTTTGGGTTCGAGTACATACAACCGTCCTAACATAAATAATTTTTTTTTTTTGCCCTTTTTCTTTTTATCGGTAAATATTCAAATATATCAATAAATTAATGCTTACTATGAAATTCAAACTTATTGTCTCCACTTAGTGAAGGACTCGCTAATGGACCAGTATAGTTGTTGATTTCTTAAATTCTTTGATTGACTCAAAACCAACTCATAATTACAAAGAGATTTATCCTGTGACAAAAATCCTAGATTGTATGACAGGTGGGTCAATCAAAGAAAGAAGGAAAAAGCGGGAAAAAAATCATAAAAAGAGGACTAGATCCACATTCGATCCATTGTCTTTCAAAATTGCAGTTTAGTATTCTAGTAAAATCAAATACCTTGTACACTAGATTTATTTGCCCAAAAAACGAAACCTCTTAATTTAATTATACTATCCTGTGCCGCATAAAGAGGTTTTAGTTCAACTTATATGTATTTGAAAAAAAAAAAAAAAAAAGGATAAAATTTGGAATCATGGGGATAAAATGCCTCTACTTAAGAGATTTCTTACCAGTCACATGGTTTATTTTTGGCAATTAGCTTTTTAACCTTTAGGGGTTGAAATATGAATCCCAAAAGTCAACTTGGAATCTTGGAGGCATCCTATGGAGGCAGAGAGGGGAAGACACTTAACCTCCCATATACTTATACATTAGGATTCCAAATAAGCCAAAGGGGAATTGATTTTCACTCTGTTAGGCTCGTTTCGTTCGTTTTCAAGTATAAGTCAGGCTTTGCTAAGGATCGTGAAAAGTTTAGAAAAGTTAAACTCGGACTTAATTCGTCATTATTTTAAAAACTTTAATTCACTTTAGTTTGACTTAATTAATAAAACGAGTAGGTTGATATTATATTAGCATATTTGTATTTGGGTTATGTTTAATCTTGTGGTCAAAATTGTTTTAACTCATTCATGAATTTTTAAGAACCTACACAGGTTTATATTCGTGAACCTACACAAACTTATATATGTTCATGAATGTGTTGTTCATAAATACACATCTGAATTTAGTGTTTACAAACTACACAAAGCCTAATACGTAGTAATATATAGGAAGCTTAACAATTGAGCTCAAATTCGAGTCATTTATTTAATTAAGGAGCTTGAGCAAACTCTAAACAAGTCGTTCAATTCCCAGACCGTCTAGATCTACTTGATTCTTTTGCAACCCAACTAAACACACAGGACAATTCACAATCAGTACCTACTGCACCTATATATATTATGCGCGCGCGCGCGCGCACACACACACACATTATTGGAAATACACAAAGACAAAGATTGGGTTGAAATCTTGGTGCTTCACTTCAAACCAAGTAACTACCCCAAGTGAAAGAAGTCCTGAAAATATCCACTGCCCCCATTCTTACAAATGAAAAGATACAAAAGGTCCAATATATAGTATTCTCAAGTCATAGCAGTGTGACAGCTTGGGTTCATATCATTGAATCAGTAGCTCTCTGCTTACAAGTAGAAGAGATTATTAAAGAAGACAAAACATTAAGGATTTTTATGCATACAATATTATACTACTTCAACTGCCAGTTTAAGTAGGTTTTTTTTTATTGGGTTCAGTACAAAAAAAAGATCAAAAAGGTCAAAGCAAGAAAAACATTGTGTTTGAATTAAACCAAAGTTGGTTTATGTACTCCACTAGTTTTTAATTAGGTGTTGAGGTTCTAAACATAAATTTTCCGATAAATCAACTTTCAAGCATCAAAACCAAAAGATGCACAAATTAAAGGTTCCTAGAGGACTCACAATAAATAAAAGCTGGCATCCATGTGTAAACCGTCGTGCTTGCATAAGTACTGGTTATTCAAAATTGAAAAATGATAAAAGTTCGGAATTATTATTATTACTTACTGATATGTCCATTATTGGCTGAAATAGCAAATAAATAAATAAATATATAATCAAGCGTAGGCCGTACTTGTAAAAGTAATGCATGATGGTCATTCATGATGAAATGACTACTCAAGCACATCCTTTTAGGACACCATTTGAAATACTTCATCTCTATGTTTTAAAAAAATGGGTACTCAATTAGGGTGGCAAAAAAGTCTCATTTTGATCAGAGAACAGACTTAATGACCGTGTGGAGTCGTATGTATAAAACCTGGCTGTGTCTCCTAACTGAAAACCCATGCCAACATTGCTCCCTTGCAATGTAGAGAAAAAAAAAAGTTAAAGCTAATGGGAATGCAAAGCAAGAAGTCTCACTTTCAAACCAAACAAACAATCATTTGTTTGGTCATTTTTGGTTCCGGTGAAAAAAGAGTCCCACATTATTCCTCTCAATTGCACCTACTTTTGACATACTTCACCAATCCATTTAATATATTCATATATACATATATATATATATATCTTTGGTGACTGAAACCCATATGGAGTCCTTGACCCTCTTCTTGATTTTCAAAGGCAGAAAAGAGAGAAAAGAAGAAGAAAAAGCACACACACACACACACAGAAAACTCAGTTGTATGTATACTTTTTCAGCAGTGCTTTGAGTAGCACATGGCAAGACAGGTGCATTACTATAAATAAATAACATCGGTTAGGAGTTGTTATTGAGAGGTTGACTTAATTTGTTGTTGACCTGGTCAAAATAATGATAGAATAATATATAATACTTAAACCATGGTATGGATGAACTTCCACGTCATTTTGGTTTACAAAAGTCATTAACTTGATGACTTTCTAATGGTGGTTAAAGAACTTAAATTGAGTCATAAACAATGAACAATAACTCGTTAGAAATTAAATAAAGGCTTTGAAGAACGTTCGTTTCTTTTTTTGGTTGCTTGAAGATTGCTCCATCTCGTAACACTCTCTTTTATCTATATACTCTTATACATGTGTCTATATATATATATATATATTTCTTTGCTTTTGTTGTTGGGTGTCTTCTTCTTTTTAGCAATACAAATAGATTCTCTTTCCATGCGTTGGTGCAAGAGAAAGCCTAAAGAAACAAAAGAAATACGCAGTATATTTTTCATTTTATTTTCTCTTTCTCTCTCTTTAGATTTGTTGTTGATTATTGTTTGTAAGGTGAAGATGATGAAGAAATTAAAGGGTGCTGAAATTGGCAGAGAGTGGTTACAAAAAAAAAAAAAGGTTGTTCAGAAGGATAGTGTGCACGCTTCAAGCTAGCTATATAGCGATTGTATGTGTGTATATATATATATATATATATATATATATATATATATATAAATGATTGAGTGAGACACACATGCGATCGTAAAATGATTGCATGCTCACACCAACCTCTCAAATACAGATGACACAATCATTATGTTTGCAATACACAATACTCTGTACGTCGTTTACAACAAACGTGGGCCTTCTCCTACTCTGGATGAAATCAAAAACCTACATCCATTATTTTGTTTTGTGACTTACAAAAAAATGATACTCCCTAAATAAACACCAAATCACGAGATTAGAGGACCTATCAAAATTTTAAAAAAATTGAGTCCAACTTGAGTCTAAACAAAATCAAGTATAAATTATAGTAAAAAAAAATAAAAAAATAAAAATAAAAATCTACAATAAGCTCCAGACTCATAATGAGTCTTGTATCTCTCTGGAGATAAAAAGTTAGGGTTAATAACCAAATATCACATTAAAATATTAGATTCAATTTTACTTTTTGTCACTCACACCTTAAGTATAGCACGTTATTTGAAATTTGGGCAAAAAAAAAAAACCATGTAATTTAATTTGTTTGTGTCGCCATCCATCAATCGGCAGATTGGGCTTTTTATTACCCAAAAAACATATCCCAAACACTGTGCCCGTTCAGGAACACAGGAATATTCCTGTTTGGGCCCAGGAAGATGGATCTATTGTAAATAGTAGGACTTCCGAGCCACGTTTCAGGTAACCTTGAAATCTTGTTCAATAAAGGGCATAAAAGATGGACCATCTCAGACCAAAAAGCCCATTACGGCTTCTGATACTTCCCAGTTTAAACGCAGGCCCAAACTTAAATTTAAACTCATTCTTTTAATATGTTCTATATTTCAAAAGCTTAATTACCTAGATTGGAGCTTGCAACACTATGGGCCTGAGGGTCCAAAGTGGCAAGTACTATCAAAGAGCTCAGACCGAAGTTCTAAATAAGCCCATCTCGTGAGCTTGTGTTAGTCACACAGCTCACAGTTGCAACATCCAAATACGTGGTTGTGCAAAATGCCTTAACCCCCAACTCTCGAATGTAGTAGTAGTTCTTCTTCTTCAATTTTTTATTTTTATTTTTTTCCAAAAAAATCCACTCACGGATTTGGTGTTCAATTGTTGATTCATAGTGAACCACAGCAAATTTCGAGACCTTCTCCTCCATGGTTACGTCCACGCTCTCACCTGTGACACCATCCCTGGTAAACTTGTATATAATTCATCAATATATATTCATACATACATATATCATCACCAAGATATTTTTTCAAATTGAACCCAATTCTTATAAATTACTAATAGTTTCTGTATCAGCTGTGTTACAGCAAGAATGGTATGTGCTCTCCTCCACAAGCTCTTGTAAAACCCATGAGGATCAGTGGTTTAGGGAAGGACGAGAGAATGACAGTGACGTGCATGGCCTCGATCGAGTCCCTGACATGGGTAAGAGGCAGCTCATGAATCTGCTTCTTTTGGGTTCTATTTTACTTCCCACTGCTGGCATGTTGGTCCCCTATGCCACATTCTTCGCCCACCTGGGTCAGTAAGTAACTTATTTTATTTGCTTGATTATTATTAATTTGTTAAGTATGGTTAATTGTTCGGATGCTAATGCATAAATCGAATTCAAGATCTATTTATTTATTTGTTTTTCCCCATCAGTTATCATAGATGCATTAGCTTGGGGGAGATGATCTGACAAGTTATGGAATTTAATGAAAAATAAAATAAAATAAAATAAACACATCATTGAGAAGTTGGGGTTGTCAAAATTGAAGATAGAATGAGAAAAATACGTGCAAGTAAGACTAAAAACTTGGTTAACATTAGGAGTAGAGTGCACTGTAAGATGAAGGAAAATGAAAAGGGGCAAGTGCCCGTTTGGGTTGCTCACTGTGTCCAGGAGCCTGTGTTCGAGCCTTGCACTCTCCCCGTCCCCTCTAACAACTAACCACTAACATCTAACATTCTTGCCCTGAAAAAGAAAAAGAAAAAAAGAGGAAAATGAAAAGGGATGTGACCTGAGCCAGTTTAAAAATATGATTCAATTAGGAGTGTTATTATAGATAGATTAATATGTCAAGAGAGGGATGGTATAGCTCACACAAGATACGGGAGACGCGGAATTTGTTGTTATCACAATGTGATGTGTAGATTATGTTAAATTCTATAGTATTTTTGTCAAACAGATATATAAGAGGGCAATTTTTTTTGTTGAAGATTTTCAAGGTTTGTGTGAATTTATCCATTCAATTATCATGCAACAACCGAAAGAGTGAACAGTATTAGCATACCTTAATTTGCCTGTGAAGTTTCAAGCAGTGTCCTGACACCTGGTTTGGGTAATTTTTGTTAGTTATCTGCAGCTTCTTTTAAGTAGGTCAGAAAGATGATTTAGTGTCAAAATTGGCACTCATAAATTTGCTCAGAAATGCTTATTAAGGAAATGGAGTTCTGATAATTATTTATTGTTTATCATCATTAGATACTTTATTATTTCTGCTCAATTTGTTCATCTATATCCTAAAACTGCCTTCTGATTTGACTGTCAAAATCTAAAATTTCTGTAACAGTGCATCATCTCTTTTTCTTGTTAAAATTTTCATCCAGTATTGCCTGTCATCATCATTTGATCACCTTTCATAAAACTGCCTTCTAACTTGGAAAAGTATAACAGATCAGGCGGTGCTGGGGGTGGTACTATTGCTAAGGATGCCTTAGGAAATGACGTCATTGCAGCTGAATGGCTGAAGACTCATGGACCTGGGGATAGACCCTCACGCAAGGGTTGAAGGTATGCTACTATCCTTAATATATTTCTCACTATTAAATTTGTTGAACATTCAAAAGAAAATGATGACCGTTCAGAATACTTATTAAGGTACAACATTAAGAAGACAATGATGTTGAAATATTGACTACATATGGTACATTTGGGTAGCTCAATATGATTTTGTGAAAAAGTGTTTTCTTAGTGGAAATATAGAGACATTCATATGAAAGAGGAAAAATAAAACAACAAAAAGAAAGGTTCTGATCTTCAAAAAGGTTTCAGATTGCCCTAGTATTCCATCAATTAGTTACCCAAGATTCCAGACGTCCATTAAATGAGAGAAATCTAGTAGGGAAAAACTACTATAGATACAAAGAAGAGGAGTTAATGCTTTCTTTTGTACCATTTTTTCATATGTGAAATGTTTTTTTTTTTTTCCTAGTTGGTACTCACTCACACACACGTCTCTTTTGAGACTTGAACCCCTGACCTCCTTTTGGGAAGTAAGAGGCTGATACTGTTAGGCCACTGGCCCGTTGGTATATGTGAAATGTTAATGAACCCTCCTCATTCGTCGACTTTGTGTGATCTAATTTGTACTGTAGGAAGTCATGATTTCCATCGTTTTAGTAGAAAAAAATATTATAAAAAATCTCTATTAGCTCCATCAAGTGGGAAGAAATATGTGCTCCAAATATGAAAGAAGCAGATACCTCCTGGTAAATGTTGATTATGCAGGCAATGTCATGTTATTTTTTCTGAAAATTGGGATCGGATCATCATAAAAAATATGGAAGTCATTAGTAAATATGATAGTAATTGGAATAACACGATAAGACTTACTTTAAACACTTTATTAGAAAAATATGTGAAATTATTTTATTCAAACTCAATGTTTACAAATCCTTGGGGAATAATACTGTGAATTTGAATCAACTTGTAGTTTTGGAAAATAATTTCGATACGGATTTCAGGGGGATCCTACCCACCTTGTTGTGGACAGCAACAGAACTCTTGCAACATATGGAATCAATGATGTCTGCACCCACCTTGGGCGTTTTGTGCCGTGGAATGCTGCTGAGAACAAGTTTATCTGCCCATCATGGATCCCAGTACAACAATCAAGGAAGAGTGGTTAGGGGACCTGCTCCACCGGTTAGTAAGAGATTTTTTTTTATTTTTTATTTTTTTATTATAACCAGTTGTTTATGTTATTTTATTTCTTTTGGAAGAAATAAATTGACTAGTATATTTGAAAGGAACAACAATTAGAAATTGCTATGGTTGCATTCAATTTGTTAAGACATCACTGTTTAAATGACCACAACCTGACTTAAGGGAGAACTGGAAGAACATCCCCGTCTATGGCCATGGCCTAGTTGGGCTTTAGAAGGGGAGGAAGTAGTACTAGGCTACGACCCCCGGTAAAGTAAGAAATTTGATTATGCAATTTTTTTGTATATCACTATTTTAAGTATATTTTTTAAATGACCATGTATGGCCTGTTTGATGGGAGGAGGTGAAGAGGGGTGGGCCCATGGCTTGACTGGGTTTCGGCATATTGGACTGGCCTGGTTTGGCAAGATTTGAAATTTTTTTTTTTTTCCCAAATGATTTTTAAGAATTAAGCGTATGAGGTTGTATCTGTGACTTCTTAAGAAGAAAGTGCAGGGTGAAACATACTGCAACAAAAGAATGTACAACAAATGACTTGACCTCTAGAAGCTAGGCCCAGATCCCACTCATTAATTTTTTGGTGGACCTAGGTTCTAGAATCATTCTTCTTCTTGTTTATTTTTATTTATTTATTTATTTTTGTTTGCTTGTCAATAATTTACACATTTTGTTACTTGTTGAAACAGTCCTTTGGCATTGGCTCATGCCGATATTGATGATGGAAAAGTAGTGTTTGTTCCATGGGTTGAAACAGATTTCAGAACTGGTGAAGCTCCATGGTGGACTTGAATCTCTTCTTACCCTCTACAAGGTTGGAAGTGACTCAGTTTGTTTTGCACATATTAATGAAGCCTACAAGATACTCTGATGTAAGAAGGATGTTATTGACAATCTTAAGTATGCATTTGCTGTTGCACAGCTATTTGTATCTTGATTATCAATCACATAGCACTTTCTTATCAAATGCTCATCATCTGGCCATGATTCAGGTGGTTTAATTTTTCATGACATGAGTTTACGAATCTATTTTACTTAAATTGACAGTAATTTTTTGATGTGCAGTATTACTTATTTGGAAAAGGTTGAATTAGGGCGTCGTGGCTAAAATGAGGGTGTTTAATGTGGGCTCTGCTTGTCAATTGCACAATTTAGAATAAAATATCGATTCCCAATTTTCTCTCATCTATGTTCTTGTCATTACATTTTTATACTTTTTTTTTTTAGAAAATCATCATGTACACGTACCCTTCATAACAAACAAAGCATAGGATTGTCTCATATGCATGCTAGAGCTACTTGGCTACACCAATTGAGAAAACACTATCTTAGTAGGATTGAACAGATACGTGTGCCTTGTCTTGTCCAGACACATGCCAACTACTTTTGGCACCAACAATGCCTATATATGGACTCACATTTTCTCAGAACTTGCATTAATCACATGATTCGTAGTACCTCAATGTCTTCTCAAGTAGTTGCCACAGACGAGATGACTCCTACTCATGAGCAGCCAAGTAATGGTGATTACAAAAAAGGGATCAAGTACCTCACTGATATGATGCCTAACATGCCCAAGCTGCCTTCAGAATATGTTTTGCCATTACCGGCAAGTCCATTATCAGTCAGCCATGCTTCAATCCCCGTCATGGATTTAAGTGGTCTCTCTGGATCCACTGAGTGTAGAATGCTCACTATTCAAGCCATTGCCTCTGCCTGTACTGAGTGGGGATTCTTCAGGGTAATTTTTTCGAACTTTAGTGATTGAAAAATTATTCTTGACATTGTTGTTTTTGTTATTGTACATGTTTTAGAAATTAATATATATATATATATATATTTTGTAAACATTGATTTAATAATTTACCAAAATAAAAAACAACAGATTGTTAATCACGGGATAAAGATCTCTTTAATGGAGGAAATGCTGGAGGCTATAGAAGGATTTTTCAATCTCTCTTGGGAAGAGAAGATGAAATATGCTTCGGACGATGTGATGGATCCAGTTAGGTATGGAACAAGCTTGAATACATCCATAAAGCATGCTCTCCATTGGAGGGACTATTTCAGGCATTTTGGCCATCCTTTTCACAGTAGCTTTCATCTTTGGCCTAACAATCCCTCTAACTACAGGTAAATATAGATCTATAAATGAACCATTTTTCTTAAACTTTGTTTCAAATTCATTTTGATTAATCAATCCAAATCTTTCGAAGGTATGTAGCAAAGGAATACTTAGAGGAGGTTTGGAAGTTGCAACTGAAGATAGCAAGTGCAATATCAGAAGGCTTAGGACTGGACAGTGATTACATAGAGAAGTCACTTGGAGAAGGTTTCCAGATCCTTGCCTCTAATTATTACCCTCCATGTCCAGAGCCACACCGAACACTTGGGCTAGCAGCACATTCTGATCATGGTGGCCTAACAATTTTGATGCAAAATGATGTCGATGGCTTACAAGTTAAACACGAGGAAGAGTGGGTTGCTGTTGAATACGTGCCAGGGACTTTTGTTGTCAACATAGGAGATTACTTGGAGGTTCGTTATCCAAGTCCCATCAAAATAAAAAAAGTTATACCCTTATTGTATTGTTACTTAACCAATATCAGAATTTGGGCCACTATAGCATTAAACCTTGTGATTATAACAAACATTTTTATGATCTTAGATTTTGAGCAATGGAAGGTACAAAAGTGTGGTGCATCGAGCTGTGACAAATGCACAAAGAGCGAGGATATCGGTAGCCGTGGGCCACGGGCCTGAGCAGACGGCCACAGTTGCACCTGCAAGCCTACTAGTTGATGTGAAGGATGACATTAAATACCGGCCCGTCACCTACAAAGACTACATTAAGCTACAACAAAGCAGCGCTATAAGAGGAAAAAGTCCATTGCAAACCATAATGACCCACAACTCAACAAATGAAGCTTCTTCTGCTCCACTGCCTCGAGTATAAGAAAATTTCATTATGTGTGTGTGTGTGTGTGTGTGTGTGTGTGAGGTTTTGTAGTGAATTGACTTTTGCAAAGTATAATGTATGGGCACAAAGCTGCGTTTATTTTTGATGTTGTTGTTGGGTTTAGACATGAAACAAGCTAGTATATGCTAAACTTAAAATTAATCTAATTGGAATATTGTGTGAAATAATGAAGGAGGTAACCCGAGCTCCTTATATTGTTTAATGCCAGCTTAATTGTTGCTTATTCCGACCCATTTTTATTTAATTAATAAGAGAACAGTTTTTGGTTGAATCAAGGTTCTACGGCTGGTGGGTTCGATTCTCCTCAATTGCATTTCATTTTCAAACGGAACAATTTGGGCTGCGAGCTACTGGTCCGGGCCGGCCTAAACTATTGAGAAGCGGCCGGTCCGTTAAGATGCTGGTTTTGCTGCTAGAATTGAGACTCAACAATGGGCCTGCAAAAGGCCCGTTGCGAACAGCACCCGGTAAGTTTTGCTCTCTCGGTTCTAGCAGCAACACCCATGCCTTTATTTACAGACTTCATGGGAGAATCAGATGATGACATTTGTCCTTTCTTGATAATTATTTTATAATAATTTTTACTATCTTGTAAATAATTATGTCTAAGAATAATTATTCATTTATTTAAGTAACCCAACTTGAAGTGGGCTTGACTAGTTGAATAATTTGAATTGAGGTTTGACAATGAGTTTGGCCAATTCAAAAAAACATATGACCCATATTTATTGGAGGGTTCAATTTTTTACAACCTGAAGTATCTATTGTATCACGTAAAGAGGAGTGTTAAACACAATCGTGCAAGTCACTGTGCATTCACAGTCGCATGTTTGATTGGTTAAAAAATAATTTGTAATTAATTCTCTTTCCTATTTTTTTTAATTATAAACTTCAACTTTAAAACCAAATTACCCTTTAAATTATCTCCTCTTTCTTTATACCTAATAACATTCCTTCTTTCTTTTGTTACATATATTTAACTTTATTTATTTTTCTTTATTTTTAACAATCGTCTTTTTATTATTTTATTATTTTTATTATTATTTTTTTTCCTGATTGGATATATATGGCTACACTTCATTCTTTACTTTCTTTCTTTTTTTTGTTCACTTGTTATATATATCTATTTACCCTATAAAAGTTTATTCTATTTTTAATTTTTATATATACTTTTTTCAATATTTTATAAGCGTCTTCGATTTTCACACTTTTTTATTTTTAATTTTAAAGTGTCGTCTCGATTTTTACACTCTCTATTTTTAATTTTTAAAGCGTCGTCTCGATTTTCACACTTTTTTTTTCAATATTTTATAAGATCGTCTCGATTTTCACATTTTTTTTCAATATTCTAGAAGATTGTCTTGATTTTAAAAAACTTATACACAGTTTTCGGTTACACAACCCTATAAAGCATCGAGTCTCTATTTTAAATTTTTATATACACATTTTTCTCATTACATGCGTTTCTTAAGACGCCATCAGTTTTATTTTAAGAATTTAAAAAAAAAAACAAAAAAACAAAAAAATGCGATTCTCATTCCATCTTTGTCCATACTACACGTAGAGTAGACATTGAGTCAATCTCTATTTTGTAAGATTTCTTAATTAATCAAAATTCTTCTTGGACTTGATTTTACTTGAATACTATATATATTTTGATAATTCATGTTAGATTTATTCAAAGAGTTAAACTTTTACTCAAAATATTCTTTAAATATTTAATTGACCTCTTCTTTTTATAACGTGTCTCTCCACTCCAGTTGTCTTATTTGTTTCCTCTTTTCTTAACTCTAAACTAATAAATTTTTAAAATTTATCTTCTAATGGAAAATCGAATGGAAAATTGTGAATTTTTTTTTTTTTTTTTTTTTTTGTAAAATACTTATCCTTTACTAATTATTTAATTTTAGATTAAAAAAGAATGTTCCTAACTATTGCAACTTGTACCCAACAATGTGTCGTTTGGAAAGACGATGTGCTCAGTTGAAGTTTGTATTCTTAAAAAAATTGTAAATGATAATATAATTATTTAGAAAAAAAAAATATTAAAGATAAATATATTTATATTAATTTTTAGAATTTTTAAAAAACAAAACAACCTTTCTTTACACTTTTTGGTAATAATAATAATATATACAGTGTATAATATACTTGATTTCAATATTTTATAAGCGTTGTTTCCATTTTTAAAAACGTATATGTTATTTTCGGTTTTCACAGCTTCCTCAGTACATATGTCTACGTTGCTGAAGACGACGTCAGTTTTATTTAAAGAAATTTTTAAAAACAAAATAGTTTTCTTTATGTTCCCCTTCTTCTTTGAACAAAATAAAAATTAAATATTCCTTTTTCTCAATTGTTCAAACCGACACATCTTCTTCTTTCATGTCTACTTGGCTGTTGTTTTTTTTTTTTTTTTTTTTCTTCTGATCCCCTTCTTCTTTAAAGAAAATAAAAATATATATATTTCTTTTTTTCCATTGTTTCTAAACAATAGTAATCAAATCGACATATTTTTTTATTTCATGTTTACTTGACTGTTGGTGTCTAAAAAATGTTATATATAATCATCGAATTGGATCTTGCCTCTCTCAGTCTACCTCTCTCGCTTCTTCTACCCATCTCTATCTGAAAAATGTTATATATAATCGGCGGATTGGATCTTGCCTCTCTCATTCTACCTTTCTCGCTTCTTCTACCCATCCCTTCTTTGAACATTTACTATCTAACTCTACTTCAAAAGTCAGAATGTGGTTGAAGCGCATAACTGAAGGCTTATTTTCATTTAAGGTATGTTTCAATATGTATTTTGTGTTATTTATATTTTTGCTTTTGAGGATACAATGTTTGAAAAAAAAATTCATTTTGTTGATCATAATTTAGAATTATTTATCATAGTGTTCTCATACTTTAGTTGTGCTAATATGCCTCTGAATGTTCATTTGGGTATAACCCAAGTCAATGATTTGGGTTTTTTGCGTTTCCAACCTTACAATCTCAGCAATTTCTTTTGCTCTCTCTCTCTCTGTCATTCTTCTTGTTTGCGGGCTTGGAATTCAATATAGATTTTTATTTACGTGCCATGCACGTGATCATTTTCTAGTGTATATATATATATATATATGTTCCACCTTGATGGATTTTTTATTGGATTTTATGTAATTTAATTGAAATAACGGTATGAGATTGAGTTTTAATTGAAGCAATATTATAAAATTTGAGTTTTAGTTAATATATGAAATAAGAGAAGTATGTGTTGACCTTGAATCTAAGGCTTTTGATGATTATAATTCATTAATGATGTTCTATGTTTACTAATGTCTTCTTGAGTGAAATTACAGATCAAAGCTTTCATCAAAACAAGTCACTATAATACAAGAGCAAAACTGAAGTAGCATCACCAAGGCATGAGCAAAGGACTAAGCAACCAAGAGTCAAAGACAAGTCATCACAACTCATCAAAATGGGGTTAGCTAGGTTGATGAGTTTCTTAGGAAATCTTATTAAAGTATATATGAACATCTTGAAGCTCAAACTCTCAAACATTATGCATATCAACTCATTCACAATGACTAAGGATTAAAGGACTTAAGTAAATCTTTATCTGAACAAGTTCCTGAAAATGAAAGTCCATTTCGGTATACCGAAATGGAAGGGCTTATTATATCAGTCGACCGAAATGAACAAAGAGTTTGTCCCAAAACCTCTAACTATTTTGGTCTACCGAAATAGAATTTCATTTCATTTCGGTCTACCGAAATAAAAGTACTGAGAATGATGCTCAAATTTTAAAATCATTTCGGAGGACCAAAACAACTGAGAGTTTTAATTCGGTCTACCGAAATAAAAGTACTGAGAATGATGAAATCATTTCGGTCGACCGAGATAGAAAAGGGCTTTACTTTGGTTTACCGAACCAAGAGTACTGAGAGGATGATGTCCAAGCTTAAAACCATTTCGGACGACCGAAACACAAGGGTGTTTCATTTCAGTCGACCGAAGCTATGTTTTTTAAAATTTAAACGGGCATTTTTTCTTGAAATATGTGTCCAACAGCTATAACTCTTATCAGACAGTTCTGAAAGTCTATATAATGACTGGTAGTCTTCATAAAAGCTTATTGCATTTATTGAGAAAGAACTTCTAGCAATCAAAAAGCATTTCATCATCATTTACACACATCATATATCATAAAAGAGAGTTGAGCTTCAAGTTATTCATACATACTCTAGAGTGGGCTAAATCTTGTACTTTAGATCTAAAAGAGATTACCTTGTACTTCATCAATCTTGTTCAAATCTTGTAAGGGCTGATGTGACCCAAGAAAGTCTAAGAGAAGGTGTTTCTCTTAGCTTTTAGAAGTAAGGAAGAGTTTCTTGTAAAAGGTTTGCTCTTCACCCGCAAGGAGAAGCCATAGTGAATTGGGAAGTTTTAAGAGGGGTCTTAAGCCGAGGAGTAGGAGTTTCCGAACCTTGCTAAAATCGCTGAGTACATGTTTGCAACTTCTATCTTTATCTCTCATATTTATTGTTTCATGTATGTCTTGATACGCCTCTTCATAAATATTGACAATTAAAGCTTAAAATTCTGATTGCATCATTCAATATTTGTCAAAGAAGTTGAGTTTAACTCTAGTTGATAAATCAATATAGAAAAATTGACCTTAATTTGCTTAGACTCTATTCACCCCACTCTAGAGTCTATATTTGGGCAACAATTGGTATCAGAGCAAGGTCTCTATTGAAAAAGCTTAAGTGTTTTAGAGATCGATCATGGCAAACTTAAATGGTCACCTTCTTCAAAAAGGTCAGTCCAATACTAGACCTCCTTGGTTCGATGGAACAAATTATGGTTATTAGAAAAATAGAATGATAGATTTCCTCCAATCCATAGACTACCAAATCTGATTGGTTATTGTTAATGGACCTTTTGTTCCAATGAAAGGATTTGGTACTGAAAGAGTCCCTAAGACTGAAGCTGAATGGAACACCAATGATTATAAACTTATCTCCTTGAATGCCAAAGCCAAAGTCAATCTTAATTGTGCTATAAGTCCTAGTGAATATAATAGAGTCTCTACTTGTACCACAGCTAAAGAAATTTGGGATAAACTCTAGATTACTTATGAAGGGACATCACAAGTTAAGGAATCCAAAATTGACATCCTTATGCATCAATATGAACTATTTCACATGAATGAAAATAAGTCTATTA